AAACTTGCGTTGACCTGATACTAAGCTACCGATATAATTCCAGAATATCAGTAACCGATCGAATGAAATTTGCGAGAGTATAAAATACCCCTGAAGGTTATGATCGAATTAAGTCTCCAAACCTGATAAAGACTCCCGCTGTTTCAATTTCGAATAATTTCCCCCACCGATTTAAAGCCCCAATATTTCACCAAAAACCCACAAGACATTGCCACATAAATTTCAATTCCAAAAGTGTTATATATCATCAACCAGGCGTGACCAATCAAGCCGATACAACTGAAAACTCAGCAACACTTGGATGAATATGAAGAACGAATGAATGGTACCGCAGGACAAAGGATCGAACTCATATCTTCAGTTAATCAAAAAGCGATTGTTTGATTTTCGATATCGATGGGCTCAAGGCCGTGATAAGCGGGAGTCGGTGGATAGAAAAGTCTTTTGTGCCACATATAGTCGGCTGTACAAACGACAGGAACTAAAATCGAGGACAAATAAATAATATACAGGCATATTTTTCACCATGTGTTGGTGCAATTGCCCTGAATATGTCTGAAAACCCAATGCCCAGTGTTTGTTCCGGTGCTGTCGAGGGCTGGAGTTTAGATTCCAATTGAATTCCGAGTGAAGTTTTAATCGAAACAAGGACAGGAGATTTAGGTGGATAGTTGTGTGAAGGGCTATGCTGTGCCTCGATATGAAATTGGTGTCGAGACTGAGGGGTTTGTCGACGAGTTCGTCGTCCAGCAGCTCCAACTCTGGGGGAACATCGGCGACGGGTCAATTGCCGGTGGAGAAACAGAGGCGACGGTCCAGTCGCGGAAGCAACAGCAATGCCAGTCCTTCTGTTAGTGATCGAGAGAGTGATGAAGATATTCCCAGTGTTCCCAGGATCGTCCGGGATCGATCTAGATCTGTCTGCATGCCAGTTCTCACGAGCTCACAGATGCGGCATCTGCACCGACGAGCTAGTCATCATGTGTATGTTTTACATTTATTCATTCCATTTATTTATTTTTATTCATAACATGTTAATTAACTTTGCTTTAATGCAATCGCTTCGAGCACTGGAGGCAGAATGCTCGTATCGAAAAATTCCAGGTTTTGCAAATAATTATTATTTCCTTGTGAATGGAGCTTTTCAATGAATAATTATATGAAAAATTAATATTTATATTAATATACAATTAATATATATCTCAAAATTAGTCTTTTATGATTTTCGGCATCGGGTAAAATTTATTATTGATCATTGATGATTAATTCGGCGCTTTCATTAGAAACTATTTTTTTTTTTCTGGAAAAGTTTGAGGGATTTTTTGAAATATTGGAAGAATGATTGTCCAGTCTAAAAATTTATATTTATTTATAGGATACAGATGTTTAATAAAAATTTTCCGTTAAATTTGAATTGAAAGAATGGATCGAGAATTAAAAAAAAAGTTATCTAATTTTTTCGGGAGTTCAGATAATTGAAGATTCATTAAATATTGAAGTAATTGGTGGATTTTTAATTCACAGAATGCTAGTACGTTCCATGAACATTTGATATAATTAAAAATATCGAATTAATGTTCTAGGAAATTTCAAGGACGCCTTTCTGTCAGTATTTCAAAAATTTTCACTCAACGCTCACTTTCTTCCATCAATCCTGAAATCTCTCCGGAATTTTTTCAAAAACCCATCAATTTTCTCGATAACTGTTCAACCTCGGGGAGAGTGACAGGAATGTCTGCGCTGCATTCACCCGAAAAATCGGTTAAAAATCCTTTTGACTCAATATCACGCTCCACCTCCGCATGAGAATTTTTTTAAAAGTGCTGATGTACTCTGGGTTATTCGAAAAAAAAAAAAAACATTAACTACCTCGTCCATATTTCCGCGAGTCTGAAAAGGCATTATGCCGGTGCGGCGATAATGCAGTCATAATTTCCTGCTCATTGGTTTAAAAAGTTGTAATTAACAACAAAAAAACATTAAACTAGTGCGCAGTTCTCTCCAGCCATTTTCCAGTCAAACAAATCGATAACCAAGAGAAAAACAAAATTATTTGTTTATAAAACACTTTCAATCCCACGCCATTACCCGTTATTAATGAAAAATTCTCAAAACTACGGCAATGTTTGTTCGACAAAATCAATCATCGTCACTCACTGTTAAATATTTACAATCCATGCAGTCCGCGGGGAAGTTAATAGTTTCATTATCCCCGGCATTTCAATCTACTCATTCCCTTCGATTTAACGCATTCCATTTGTTCACTTCAGCCACAACAACCGTCGACAATTTCCTTGCATTGAAACTGACGTACTCTTATGGACGCATTAATCACATTTCCATCGGTAATTCAATAGCTTAGAAAAACTTCCTTCTCATTGAAACGATCGACTTGATTCAAGAAAATATTCCCTCGTCAATTTTTTATGATGTAATCATAAAATAATTTTCTTGATGCATTCATAAAAGTAGAATTTTTAATTCACGTTGATTGCATGATATTTAAAATTTAACTGATTGAAAATTGATTTGCTAATTAACATTTTCCTATTATTATTGAATTATTGTTTCGATTGTACGATGAAAACTTTCACGATCAATTTCAAAGGGTTAAGGAAAAAAATTCTTGAAAACTCTTTAAAAAATGAATATTTGAAAATTTCGGTGTAAAAGAGAATCTCTTATTGTTCAAAGATTATCCTTCGATGAAAGAACGAAATTGTTTGTCCGGAGATTTAACGATTTTTTAATTTAAGAGGCGAATATTTTATCGCTGTAATTTTCTTAGGTAAATGTAGTATTTGTTCAGTATCCAATAGAATGGCGATACTTTCCCAATCTCATTCACATTTCACTCAGAATTCCGTTAGCTCTTTATATATAGTAACAGTTTATGGCTCGCTGATGAGCCAGTCGCATTGACGCGGCAATTACATGTACTCCAGTTATTCTCATAAATATCTTAGATGAGGGAATGGTAATGGCGTCCTCAAGGACCCCCCAGTGCAACTGAAACGAAATGGGTTTCCAGAAAATTACATTTTTTCCACTTTCCTGAAACGAAAAAATTCAGTACTCTGACTTTTTTCCTCAAATCCCTCTTCCCATTCCAAACTCATATTATTATTAAAGCTTTGAAGTTGTAAAATCATCTGGCATTTTTCATTGAAAAACATCTTTTTCATCTATAAAAATTTGACAATTATCTTTTTACATATGGAACAGTGAAAAGTATTTGAGATGCGTCGAATTGAATGGTGATATCAGATAATATGTATCGATTTATTTTTATTTCTCCATCCTTCACCGATAACAAGCACCTGACAGACATTTTCTCCCTGCATTTTCCAGTTTAAATCCGTCGGCTTATTTAAGTCCTCCTCTACTCACCTCGATATAATTCCTCTCACTCACGTTTGTAGCACTCGTACCGACATGTCATTCATCGTTCGTCCACCTATTTTCAGAGGTTCGTCCATTGAACACGGAATTGTCATTCTCGGCAATTTTTCCCTCGAGAGAATTTCAGTCTGCCATCAGCCTTACACTAACCCCTTGGAATCCCACGTTTTATTCTCCTCTTTATTATTTTTCATTCGTGCATAGTGTTTTTAATTCTTTACTGCAATTTTTAGTAGATATAATATATAGGTATAATGTTGTTGAGTATTTCATATAGTTTCATCATTTTGAAAATTGCAAACTTGATAAAAAGTTGAAAAAATGTTAAATTCAAAAATTCCCTTAAAATTCAGAGACATCCGAAAAATTCTCGTAAAGTGGTTATTAAATTCCCCTGCGTCTTGTAAAATTATAAAAGTGAAATCCATATAAAAAATTATAAAGTTTTCAATAATTATGAAGAATTATGAGGAATTCAATACATTAAGCAATTAATGGGAGATATCAATTAATAATTTTATTGATTAATGAAGATGATTGTGAATATTTTTCCGAGGATGTCCGCATACATTCAGATTTTTTCAAACAACCCTTCACCCCCTTCCTGCAGTTTTCTCCCTATCATCTCTAATAATCAACATTTAAGTCACGATCTCTTCCCCCTCCCCCAGTTATTGTTGCCTATGAATGAAAATCGATTCGCTGATTTCACCGAATGCGGGTGAATTTTCAACCCCTCACGACAGGCGTTTCATTACATTCCATCCCCCAACAGCCCCAGTGTATCGCTCCACTTGGAGTTTCTTTCCCAACTCTAAGAGATATTGGAAACGCTTCCTTGAACAATGGATAGTTGGCGCGAAAGTTCATCCAAGTTTATTATCCTGACTCCTCTGCACGATCGTCGCGTAGTCCATCCACGGGAGCATATCCCCGATGGAGTTCTCATTAACCCAGATATTTCCGCGACGATCTCTCAAGGCGAGTAGAATTGTCCGACGCAAGTGGAAGCGTTGAGTATTTTTTAATGAATGGGACATTTCATGCTCAGTTAGGAATTCCCGGAGATTTCACAGGTGACCGCAGCCGCTTGGAAATTTAACGAGCATTGACAATAGTTTTTTAATGAGTCTAGATTCAAAATATTGGAATATGGGTTCAACTCATTTGTTCAATTACACTGGGAGAAAAATTCGTGACAATTAAGCGAAGAGTTCCGTTGTTCTGGAAAGTTATGGTACGAGCATGCATTAATTTCGCGTAAAATCTCAGATAATTCCCGTATTTTTTCGCTGTAGAATTATGAGACGCACACGTTATTTTTCATTAATGTTCCGTTGTGCACGATTAATTCATTTTTGGTTGAATTTTTCATGAGAGACTTTGCATGACGGTAAATTCTGAATTTCCAGGTATTTCTCTAAAAATATTCTTATATACGTATATATGTAACCGCTTTGGGTGTTCTTGAAATTTCGTCATTGACATGTTAATTCTAGCGGAAAAATCCATGAAAACCATCAAATTTCCATTCCACCGGGAAAATCAACACACATTGGGGAAATTTATTTCTGTATCAACAAATAATTGTCGGGAGTAACAATAGTTCCACTTCATGTCAATTCAGTGAAATAAATCTATTGCCACAAAGTAAATAATAATTGAAATTAAATAATTTCATAACATTTAAGGTTAGCTAAAGTTTATTGTACCCCGATGGAAAATCGACATCAATGTGATATATGATTATGATTAATTCATTAGTTATTCATCAATTATTTCTGGTTTTAATTTCCACGTTATTAAACAATTCAGTTATTTTGTGTACATCAATGAGAAAAAGTGCGTTGGAAACTGCAAATTAATTGGATTGGCAAATAAATAATCTATCTGATTTAAATATTGACCGAGTAAACGAGTGGATTATTAATTTATCATGATTATTATTTATGCCGTGAATTTATATTTTATGGTATTCTCGTGGGATAAATTTCAGCGGGTGATTATCTCTGAACAAGAATTTCGGTTCATGTGATTCGATTGCAATGAATCACACCGGATTACGATTCACAATATTCCGAGGGAATATTTAATGCACATGGGGTAGTAATTATTCACCAATCGGCTGGGGTATCGAATTCCCAAATGACTTTTATCCGTTCCAAAATTTATGGAATATAAATGAGACTAAAAATGCGATTAAACTATGAAAAATGACTTGCGAACTGCGATAAATACGCAAATTGGTTGATAAATCAACGGATCACCGTGAATAGTAGACAAATTAATGAGTTTTGAGTACTCGCTGTTATCGAGATGTCCATCGATTGCTTTATAACAGAATCTCGTGGATGAAAAAAAAGATAAAGCTGGAAAAAGGGTCGCAGGAATATATCCACGTCCATTTATTCCACCGTATCTGCAGGGGATGGCACGTTTTTATCCACTTCAGGATTGAATGGAAAATTTGTCACTTGGAGTGTATTTTTCAATTTATTGTGTGAGCAGCGCATACGTTTTACTTCGAGGCAATGTATACCACGGAGGTGGTTTTATTTTGCGTTCTGCAACGACAGGGAAAAATAAAAGAAAATTTGTTTGTGAGACAAGTGGACTAGCCGGAAATGTATTCTTTCAGTTTCTCTTCAAATTCCCACGCAAAAAAGTCGGTGTTTCAATATTTTAAATTCGCTCGATTTCCCTGTAGTGCACATGCAAAATAAACATTCTATTAATTTATCTGTAAATAATTTGTTATATTTATGCCATAGGCTTGAGAAATGTATTTTACAATATCTTTAATCGGCTCAAATGATCTTTTGCAAATGTTTCAAAATTTTTTATAATTATACAAATAAATCAAATATCATGTGTCTCAGAAATACCTTCGGAAGTATCCTATGAACCCAATTTTTCGGCACAGGTGAATGGACAGAAATAATTTCCTCTCCATGCGGCACTAGAATTTTTCCGAAACATTTCTCTCTGCCCATAATGTTTCTCCACAACATATAAAAAACTGGGGAGTCCATAAATTCCGCCCTCGAGGTTTGCTTCAGAATATCTTAGTAATTAAAAGTCGATGGTTCTCTCTAAGTCATGTACTTCCAACTTTTTAACGCAAAAGCAGGAGGGAGCATTTTCATCCTGAAAGATGTATTTTCAACAATTCTCCTCAGGGGCTGACGACACGGGTGTATTTTCCATCCGAATTGCCTCTGGGTTTTTAATAAGAGATCTAAAAATAATCCTCCTTATACATCTCCTCAGTCGTGGAAATGTTCGGTGTTTCAAACGTCCGAGCACATCAACAATTGTTTTTTTCCGACAAAATTCTCTCTCGTCGGAATTCCATCAAACCATCTAATGAAAAACTGTCGATTCTAGCTGTACGATTCCATCAATTTGAAATTACTATTTCATATTTCTCTATTTTTTGCAGAATAATTATTTTTACTAATTATTTAAAATGACTAAATTCATAGATTAATCACTTTATTTCCATCCAAGGCGTGATTCATCTTCAAATATCACGATACCATCATTTATGATTTTAAGAGATTTCAAATGATCGCAAGTAATTTCAATGCAAATGATTTTACACGAAATTACGTCAAGTTGTTAAAATCCCATGACATCACGGGATCATGATTTGATACTTCATAAATTTCAGGACTAATTTCATATGATTTAATTTCAGAGTGATACAGTGATTTCACCAATGAACCCTTCCGCTAGTAATTATTTCCCCACCTATTATTTATAAATTTTTTCCCACGTTCTTCCCAAGTGTTGAGACCTATTTTTCGATACTTGACAGAAAAAAAAAATGATTCCTACTGCGAATAATAGAAACCCCTCTAATTCCATATCCGACTAATTCTCCGTCGCATCACCAATTGAGGTAATCATCCACATTACCCTCCCTATCAATTACCCCACCACTCATTTTGGTGCCCACAGTTGACAATTTCCACCGATTACATGACTCCCAGGAATTGACTATCAATTAACATATAAGCGTCCATGACATTTTCTCCTCATATTGAAAATTAGAGGGCACGGAGATCGTGCCAAGGTGACTAATGCTGAACATTCCCTCATGAACTTGAACTTTTCAATTGAGTTTGAAGAATAGTACGTGACACGGTGTCAGTGTATCAATAATGAATACAAAAATCGCCTTATCACTGGCCTGACATTTCGCGCATTCGCTTAACTGATAAAAATTTTAAAAATTCATGCTCCATTCAATAACTCCCGAATAGATCACACGGATAATTAACCTTTAATCATAGTTCAGGGACTGTGGATATTTTAGTTATTCCCCAAAAGTCGGGGTTGAATTATTCGGTAGCTCTCTGTTTCACCCGAATTAACTGGCGAATTTTAGAACGAGATGGGATGTCAATTTATAAACGAAACGAGTTCTCGTGTTTATCAGGGTAAACAGATTAAGCAGAGGTAGAAGTTCTGACTAATGCACCCCTTTTATTTGCAGATCATCAACCGACACGACCTCACGACGAGGAGTTTTGTCTCGGCGGTGCTATGGCAGCGTTGAAATGGTAAAATTTACGGCGACCGACAAACTAACACCACTGCAATTGCAGATCAAAATTAACTTACTGTTTATTTCGCTTTTCCCGTGGGAATTGTATTATAGCTGCCACAGATTGAACAGGATGGAATGGAGAACGGGAGGAGATTCAGAGTGGAGAATGGCGATTCGCCCGGGGAGAAAGAAGAGGTGAGGGATTCACTCTTTATTTCGTCTAATTCTGTTTTCAAATGTTCATGTACACGTTCAAAATCCATTACCTCATAATTAGTCTCTTCAAAGGAATAACAAGTTAGTTTATAGGAATTAATTCGCGGCAATTGATGGTATTATCGTGAAATTCGATTTTTGAATTTTCGATTGAAATTCATAATTATCCCGATAATCCAGTTGAAAAAATCTGTATTTTTCGGGAGGTAATCTAAAATGATGTTACGCAGATTTCAATAACGCAAAGTCAATGAGTAACTCTAAGAATTTTCAATTTTTTGAAATTGAATTTCAACAGATGTTCGGCTCACCGAGTACACCTGTCCTGGAGAACCCGGAGTATCAGACCCGCTGGTACTTCAAGTATTTTCTGGGAAAACGTGAGTATGAAAATGACCGTGGAACTTGGATTAAATTTCCAGGACGTTTCCACTCCCTGGAAATGGGATTATGTTCTTCGTTTCGGATGTTAAACCCATGCAAATATCGTACTAACTTCCCTTGGCGCCTTCCTTTGCATCCGAATGAGTGCATCATCCCTCATGAAAAACACAATTACCCGTTTTTTTTTTCTTTCATCAGTCCATCAAAACTATGTTGCATCGGACCACGAGAGAAACCCGCTGTTCTTGTCAGTCGTTTTAAGCGACGGAGGAGATCAATGTGTACCTCATTATCGTGTCATCCTCTGGAAGCGAACGGTACGTCTTCCTTGTGTTTCCACTACATGGATATATTCTCATCTTCTCGGAAAAATTTCAGGGCGCGAAGAAAATGTCACTTCCCTATTCCTCAAACAAATCAATGACTGTGAAGCAAATCCTGAGGTACGTAACACTACTTATCAGAATAATTATAGTAATGATCAAAAATTCCTAATGATTAATTATTTATTTTATCTTTTGTAAAATCAAATAAAGCTGAATTTTTCATTATAAACCAATTTCTAAAAGATATTAAATATTTCAAGGATCGCTATCGATTTTCGAGGGATAAGTTCATTGAGGTTTAAATTTTCCCAACTTTCTCACCATAAAGGGATTATGAACT